AATTGGCAAAAAGAAGATTTTTTTTTTTTTTTGTGTGGCTGTCCTCCCAGATCTGGGTTTGAGAGAGAGAAAGTGACATCAATTGATCCTCCAAGTACCGTTGCAGCAACCCTCACTTTCTTCCCTTTCATTATTTCACCCACACCCCTCCTCACATCCCTTCGCCGCTCCTTTTCTGTTGACTGCCGTGCAACCGCTTTCCTTCTCATCCTCTCGCGACAAACCCAGAAGCAGAACTCCATGGCACAGAGTAGAGGAAATGTTGCGTAGAGGAAAGGGAAGAGGATAGGAGAGCAGAGCAAGAGGAACAAGTACCGAGTTTGAGGCGTCCGGAGCCATGTGCAGGGGTTTGGCACAAACTGAGCCAATGCGAAGCTTGCTTCATCATGAATTTGTGTGTGTTGTTTGTGAAAAAAATGTATGGTGTATGGTGTTTATTACTTGTATTTTTCATTCTAATGTATGAATTTTCACTAGATTGAGAAAAACCCAGATCTGGGTTTGGGTTTGAGAAAAACCCAGATCTGGGTTTGAGAGAGAAAGACGAAGGGAGAAGAGAGAGTGAAAGAGGAAGAGAAAGAAGGGATGTTTTATTTTCTGATGTGGATAAAAGAAAAAGATATAATTATTTTTAAATTAATTAAAAATGCCAACTCATAAAAAATATGTTTTTTTTTCCATGTCATTGATTGAGAAAAAAAAAAAAGAGGATTTGCTGGCATTTTAACGTGCCACCTGTCATTTAACTGACGGAAGGACCATTTTGGTACCAAATATGAAAGTTTGAGGATAATTTTGGTACTTTTTAAAGGTGAGGGACAATTTTGGTGCCAAAATCAAAAGTTGAGGGACTAAAATGATACTTAAACCAATTTTTTAATTATAAATTAATGTGCAAAAAAATACTATAATCATTTAATGTTATTAAAAGTAAAAAAAAAATTAAAATTTATTAGATAATTATTAATTAAAAAATGTGATCACAAATTAAAAAATTAAAATGGATAAATTTATCAATATAATTAAAAAATTTTAATCCGCTAACGATTTGGTATAAAAAGCTACATAAATTAACTTTTTCAATCCACTAACGATTTGAACCCTAACCGTTATTCGTTAGTCTCAAACCGCTAAATAAAAATTTTACCAAATACTTTATTTGTAACGGTTTCGAAATATTTAAATTTATCAAACACTTATATTTAGCAGTTTAGGTAAAATTGCTAACCGTTACCCCAAAATTGCTATACCAAACGGCCCTTAAGCCCCTCAAATTTTCCAAAAGTTAGTGATCAGCCTTTGAACTAAAAATGAAGCAAATAAGCTCTCTAACTCTCTGTTTAAAGCAAATAAGTCCCTCCGTTAACTGAGCCCCTCAACGCATTTAATTTACAGGTGAGATGCAACGTGTTATTAGTAGTCCATGAACAAGAATTATTCAGCCTAAACAAAGAAAATTAAAACGTAAATTTAATCTCTATACTTAAAAAAATACATTCTGTAATCTCTAAAATTTTTTCTTTTAACTGTTTTAGTTCCTTTCATCAACTAATTACTAGTGTGGTATTCTCTTTTGGTAAAAAAAATTTTTTTGCCTTAATTTTTAATTCTAACATGGAAACTAAAAGTGTACATTTGAAAATTTTTTTTGATGAGATGGCATTTCATTGAAATATAATGAATCCATTTGCTGTAATTAAATTTATTATTCCTTAATTTAAGAATTAATTGATTCATTCTTCAATTAAATTACAGATTTGATTATTATGACTAAATCTTTGCCACAAATTATAATTTTTTTATTATTACTTAATCCATTAATTAATTGATTCATTCTCTATTTTTAATTGCAGATTTAACTATTATGGTAAAATCTCCTCAATTTTTTTTTTTTTTTTAAGTTTTCAACCCAAATTCTTATTCTTCCCATCCTCTACAAAATTAAATCTTCACTACAAATTTGTTCTCCTCATTCCTTTACAGTTTCAATTCAAATTTGTTCTCAAAGAAGCAATGTTGCCTCTCCCCTCCACTGATGTCACAACGAGGTTGCTAGATTGAGACTAAGCAGAAGAATTCTCAAAACCTTGGATCCAATACCTCGACCAACAATGGTGAAGCAAGAACAAATAATAATAATAATAATAATAATAATAAGAAAGGAAACCTAAATCAAAGTAAGAGAAAATAAAAGAAATCAAATTCAAATTTGTTGTCATTATCTTGAATATATATATATATATATGCAATTTTGCCTCCCCTCACAAACTTTCTCCCTTAAATCCAAGTTTAACAACTTGTAAAACCCTAGATCCATTCAATCACCAGGCCAACAATGGCGAAGTCAAGAAAAAACAAATGAAAAAGAGAGAGAAACCCAAATCAAAGTAACAAATCAAATGAAAACTGCAAAAAGAGAAACATGCAAAACAATAAAAAGTAAATGCCAGAATCTTAGCCTTTGAGAAATTGACAAAAATTTGATCTTCTAAGGAACCCATTGCTCACTTAATCACTGTGGGAAAGAAGATCTGATGAGGAACAAAGTGAAAGGGACAAAAGTCATTCCTCGCTCAATCATTGGGTGACGACGAGGAACTTGTAATACCCAGAATTATTATTATTATTATTTAATACCTTAAGGATGTGTATGCAATAAGGTGGAAATATGAGGACTTATGTGTATAATG